TCTGTTGTGTAGCAATAAACTTAGCTTTGTTGTTCAAACAAAAACAATAAAAACCCACTAATGTATATCTTATCATTTTTTTTTTATTCATTCTTTTGAGTACTATGTCTTTTATGTTTTCTTCTGACTAGATTATGTATTGACAGGAGGGGTGGTGTGATGGGTTTAGCCATGGCTTGCTCCAATACTTTTGGACTCGTTACAGGTGCATTTCTTCTTGGCTTTGCCTTGAGTGAAATACCAAAGAGCATTTGGAGAAATGCAGATTGGACCACTCGGCAAAAAGTCCTTTCCCATAAAGTTGCTAAAATGGCAGTGAAACTTGATGATGCTCATCAGGAATTTTCCAATGCTATTGTTGTAAGTACATTTCTGTATAACTATTTACATTGATGGGTTCCAAAATGAGCTTTTGATATCTTTAAGGTTTTATAATGGTTTTAACATATAACACCCCCACCCCAGAAAAAGATATAACAAAAAACAAAATTATAATAAATAATAATGGTAGTTGTAGTAACAAATTCACAACAACAAAATTATAATATTTTTTTATTTACTTCGGCATAAATGGTTAAAAGATAGACATATTGGTAAATTTTGTTGAAGATGATTTAGAAGTTTTTAGGAGTTTTACTGTGGGAATCTACTTTTGCTGGCTCTCACTGTCATTCTATAAGTAAGCAAACCTATACACTGTTTGACATTTCAGCTTCACTGCAAACATCTACTTTTAGGTTGTTCCTTTTTTGTATTAATTTTTAAAACAAATAATAGATTAATAGAGTATCTGGATTGCATTTGTATGAAGTTGTGTTTGTTATGATTGATATAGATGGATAGTTTATATTTAAATGTATTTACTCATAATAAAATTTGTTTTCCATTAGGTTGCTCAAGCAACATCGAACCAGATGTCCAAACGCGATCCTCTGAGACCCTACATGGATATAATTGATAACATGTTGCGTCAGATGGTAATTTTTTTTTAATCTAAAACACAAAACAACATACTGTTGTGAAATTTCTTCATTCAAGATGGAATGTTGAACATGCTTTCCTGTCTTCAGTTTATAGAGGATCCATCCTTCAAGCCACAAGGGGGAAGGTTTGGAGAAAATGATATGGATTACGACACTGATGAGAAATCAATGGCTACACTTAGGCGTCAATTAAGGATAGCTCGAGAGGAGTACTACCGCTACAAAAGGTATGCACAGACTTATTGAGTGTAGCGATGATCTCATTATTGACACATTAAAAATTAGTTCAATGATGCTTGCCACCTAGGATAGATATATTAAATCGGCTGCTGAGTGCTTACTTTCTTGTTCTTCAAATTTCTACTAATTGTGTTGGAGCTTGTTCTCTGCAGTGAGTATATGAATTTTGTCATGGAGGCCCTTGAGTTGGAAGATACTATAAAGAACTATGAGCGTCGTGATGCAACTGGATGGTTTGCTCTCGTCTTTATGTTTCTTTGTTTGTTTTACTGTTTCCTTTATGCCTGTATAATTTGTCAATGCATTAACAGTTAATGATTTAAAAGCCTGGGCACTTGATCTTACCTATGTTTGAGTTCTTTGTATTCTCTTAATGCCTCTCATTTTTCTGTCAACAAATTGGCATTCAGTGTACTTGAAACATGTGCAGAGCTGTCAGTATACGCTAGACCTGAATATATTAGAGTATGCTCTGAATCGTTTGTGTACCCTTTTAAGTTTTAATCGATGAGTTTCTTTCAGTACTTGATTTTCAACCAACTATATGGATTTGCTAGGGAACACAATTATGAGTATACTGACCACTCCTAATTTAATCTGGAAATCAATGTACCAAACTACCTAAGAAATGGACTTTCTCAAACCTATACTGTTATGAACAGATCATATTATGTATGAATTATTACTCGAGAGTACAGTATCTTGGCTTTATGTTCCATGAACCCCCTGAGTATTGTACTCATGTTAAAACAAATCTCGGACTAAACCACTTAATTAGCTTCTCTGCAACACTTCCGACTTTTCTCTTATGGATTGCAATGAATATAATTGCAGTTATTGACTGTTCTTGTTTTCAACCCCTTCCAAATGAAACAATGTGCATAGCTAGTTCCTATATAGATTTACTTGTAGTGATAACTTTATCCGTATCATATTCATTCGGGTCCGTGGTACACACGCATAAAATGAATGTTGACTCTTGCACTAGATTATTACTAACATGATATTAAGCCGATGTCCTATTTTTCGGCTCTTGTAATATGAAACACTTTGTCCTAATGTTGTACCCCAAAACCATATTGCATTTATGCAAAAATCGTTATACTTAACCAGGCTTTGTTCAGTTTCATTAAGTTAGTGTCGATGCTTTATGACTTGCATATTTTTTTTCTCTTTCTCGTTTGTTTTGTGGGTTTACTTTGAAATTTATCATCACTCCACGACATTGATATCATAGATCTGTTTTCCTAATTTTTGCAGGAAATATATATCAACTTTCAGACCAGTTCGAACTGGCAGATTAGGATCCTCGTTGGATACAATAGGTAATTGTTTTCATGTTGTTTTGCAAAATATCTTTATGGCGTATATTTATTATGAAAATTTTGTTATTGCAAATTTTCGTGGAACTAAGGACTGAATAGTAGTATAACTTGGCTGAGTATTATCTAGTATTGTTTTTGCTTCATACTTTCATTCATGGCATGTTTGGAAGCCCCACCTTAGTGAATCATTATTAATGATTAATGAATCTTGCAGAGTTGGTCTGGCGATGTATGCTCAGGAAGCAGATGGAGAAATTTGTGGCTATTATATTAGGTTGCATGTCAGCTGCAATTTTAATTGCGGAGGCTACTATTCTACCAAGCGGGGTTGACTTATCTCTTTTCTCCATTCTTATAAATGCAGCAGGAAAGCAAGAGATGCTTGTGCAGGTGATTTAATTCTGAAATCTTATTTATACAAATGTGCTTAGCAGCTAATTGGAATGTTCCTTTTATATTTGGTTGTGGGAATACACAGGCCTTTTGTATGTTTGTGTGTGTGTGTTTCATGGTTTTGTTATCTTTTTTTTTTCATACATGCAACCACGCAAAATGCTATGTCCCGGTGAAGTATACAGACTGTAGTAGACTATTCCCAAGTTTTCATTTAAGGTGTACTGTCACTTTGTTTCTACACATATGGGCTATGGCTTTTCTTTCCTGCTTGTAAGTGTTTCTAGGTCAAAACTCAAAAGTAATTTTGAGTATTGACCGAATTTAGGAGGTCTTTTATGAATTGGGTGGGGGTGCAAAACGTGTCTGTCAGACTACTTGCTCTTTTCTCTCATCTCTCCTAAATCCTAATCCATTCTCTCTCTCTCCCTCAATCTATTGTGGTATAAGTAACTGATCTGAGTGATCCACTGATCCATTAAGAATCACATGTAATGAGTTTCTTTAATATCAATATATGAAGGGAGATATTTCGACATTAATAATGCTGTTCCATCTCATCATCCGTGTGTGTGTGCACACCCATCTGTGGTCCATTGTTTACCTTCATTCAAAGCGTAATTAAAGAAATATATAGTTTTTTCGCGTACAATAATAGTATATGTGACAAGTTAAAGAAACAGAACATATTCAACATGTGATGATATTTGTAACAAATAATTGTCATGTCCATATAATAATTAATATAGCAAGCCAATCAGAAATCCTACGCTTGAGTTAGATGGTCCTTTTCAACTCTATTTGCTGGGAGTTCGATAAGAAAGGGAATGAAGAGCCCTTTGATGAAACATGAGCCTTGGTGGAGTTTTTTTTTGTTTACATCTAAATCCATCCGTTGGGATTTCTATATGCAGTTAATGAGAACCATTCAATTTGACCATTATATCAGGAATGGGAGGGATGTGTTTTTTTTTTTCTCTACACTTGACTATTAATGTAAACATTCTTTTACCAAGCAAAAAAAGAAAAGAATGCTGGCAGAAGAACTTTTATGGTATGTTATATACAATATGTATCTCATAAGTTAGATACAAGTGAAAGTGAATCTGAGAGAAGCAGAAGGGAATTAAAGGCTTGTCCTACATAGGATGATTAATGTCTGACAACTTTGATCTGCTGTAAAGATTGATCTTCGTGTTTAATGAAGTGGCAATTTTTTATAAAATCCTGTTATTCTCATATGTATTTTGTTTTCACTATATGCAATAATAACTTCTCACTATCTACTCTTTTAAACTTGATTGAGATCAAAATATAGGGATTAATTGGGTTGTTTTCCAGATTGCTGCTTTTGTACCTCTGTTGTATATGTGCCTGTGCACATATTATTCCCTGTTCAAGATTGGAATGCTGATGTTTTACTCATTAACTCCAAGACAGACAAGCTCAGTCAGCTTGCTCATGATCTGTTCGTAAGCTTCTTTTGTTAGCTCAATATTGACAGCATAAACTTTGTTGACTGTGTATTCGTAGTAAGTTGCAATTAAATGTCCTTCTGAAATCTTTGCCAGGATGGTTGCAAGATATGCACCTCCCATTTCATACAACTTTCTGAACCTCATTCGTCTGGATGGGGATGCGAAAACGATATTTGAAAAGGTGAGCATCTATTTACTCAGATTCTATATCTTAGTGGTCTCTAAACTGGATATTTTACTGGAACTAAACGAAATTGAAGCTTGAATAAATACATTCATATTGTTGATCTAAAAAACAAAACCATAAACAATTTTATGAAAGTGGAAATTAGACGAGAGCTTTACGATCATAAAGCTTGTTCTAGATCTAATGTGCATAGCAAAATTACGTTACT